TTTTCTTTATTTGTCTTGTCCCACACACAGCTTGGCTCAATTAGTTTTCTGTTAACTTTGCCAATTGATTGCACGAATGCTTGATCTTCGTCGCGCTATGATTTATTTTAAGCAAGTTCCGAAAGGATAGACAGCATCATTTGATCAACAATTATTGCTGGACGTTGTTTACGTAGTAAATGGAAGGGCATCATGCTTGCCTAGCAGCGTGCACCATGGACGTTACAAGGTCACCAAAGTTGATTTGTATACACTTGAAAATCCATTTTTCCAAATAAGTAAATAGGGCGGAGCTCATCTAAATTCCAATTGTTCGTAAGTCTTGAAAATTCATTTCATTTATGCAATTTTCAAATTTCTTCTTAGCATAATCCGCTGCTGTATCACTAATTATTAATCAATTGTCTGTTCAAAATGATTGTGTTAAGAATTGCACCGCAAGTCTCAGCAAAATAATAACAAAAAAAAGAAAAGGGAAGGGGAGGTGAAAAGCTTTTCCGCAAAACATATTCGGAAGTGGCTATTTTTGCACATCAGTGGCTTTTCGTTACTCACTTTTTCTTATATATATTCTATGTACGGAATGTGACAGTAACGCTAAAGTGACACTTTATAAACGATTTTAATGTTATTACAAACTAAACACATTAGTGCCGTTCGCCCGCGTACACGTAGACGTTTGTTTCGCAAAACAAAATACCGATAAGAACACTTATGCGAGAACACGAGTTCTTATAACTTACTGGCACCGTTGTCGTTCAGATAATTCACCCAGGTGTGTATCAAATCGGATAAATATTTTCTAACATCGATGTAGGTATGCAACTATGTTCAATAAAAGTAACAAGAAACTTTTCTTTTTTTTGCATATGTTGCTCGATGAATCTCGAACACTTCATGTAGAGGAGTCATATACAAGGCACAGGTTCTCGTTATGCCCAGACTGCTGTAGAGTTTAAAAGGACAAAACACAAAGCGTACAATTCGCTGATGGTGGCAAAATCATTCTAATGCCATAAGAGACCGCAACTCTAGTACACATAAATTAGTATATATGTACGTGCATGTACGAGACAATTCAAATTCGCTTCTTTTTTTCTTTTGCGTGTGCATGTATTATACGCTTTTGTGTAACGTGTGTTTAAAGAAATTCCTAGTGCAATGGCTTGAAATTCTTCTTTTAACCATAACTGATGCTTATGCCTGAGACTGAAAGATTTATCTCTTAATGGAGTGTATACATATTTTGTAACGATTGAGTATGTATGCATCTATTATGTATGTTATATTATTTATAAGCATTCACATGTAATAGGAATGCTAGATTTTCTCTTCTTAGAAAGTATCCAGGTATTAAAGAAGTTTTTGCCGTTTTCTACTGCAAAACCATAATAGCGCCCTTAAAAAACTTTTCTTGAATATAGAACGAAAGATAATGAAGGGTAGGGGAGCAATAATATTGGGGCTTGTTATTAAGCGTACCTTAAAGTTTTGGGCAAAAATAATTATTTTTGAAAAATAATAAATTATTGCAGCAACAGAAAGTAATCTCAATGGCAAGCTGTGTAACCGATCCAAATTTCAATTAGAATAAAAAAAAAAATAAATAAATAAATGAAAAATTATTTTAAATATTTTTTTTTCTATACCTCGTGAAACAGGGAATTTTATAGGTAGCCTTTTTGGAATGAAAAAGTTGGAAGTTGTTTTGGGCAAAACGTTATCCAACCTTTTGTTAATAAAAAATATTGATATTAACTTGTGGAAATCCGCTCCATGTTTCTATAGAGAATGTAATTTTGAAAAGGTTTACAACCTTAGTTGCAAAGAAACTCGCATAAAAAGAATGAAAATCGTTCGGGTTATGTCGAGGGCCGATTAGGCAAATCATGTTTCGAAAGTTGGAAAATCGCGTTCAAAGTTATAAAACGCCTTACAGATATGCTATTGAGTTATCATAGCTGCCTATTAACTTTTTCCCTTTAATCTGCATTCTTCTGATGAATTCATAATCAATCGAAAGAATTTATCCTAAATTTTTTATTTTTTAATAGTCGCACTGTCGCACGGCTGTCTTCATGACTCTACACGAACAAACGCTTCTAAATGAACAATAACACCTATTAAAGACATATGGTAACGTGCTAACGGACTTAAACATGATTCATTAAGACAGTAGGCTGAAACTTTTCATAAGAGACATGTTTGTATTTGAGCCAGGCGGTTTTTTCTAAGCGCTTAGTTTGCAATTTCAAAGAAAAAATTTCTTTTGAAAAAATAAATTTTTCCCACATGTTCTAAAGTGTTCAAAGCATCTACTAATAAAAAAAAAAAACATTAAAAAAAAAATTGATTTTCTAACAATTTGGCAATGGTTTTCCCTCTTCAAAATTACATTATTGATTAATGCCAAAGGCAATGTTCCTCAAAGACTGAATGGTTTAGTTTTATGCGCTTTAAAATTTTCAAAGTTTCTGAAAATACATGTAAGGCACGTAAACTTCTTGCAATTGAGTTCAAAAGTTTAAATTAAATTACGTATGAGCCTACAGAGGGTTGAACGGCACTTTGTTCAAACGGAAAGTGTTTTTAAATAAAATTCTCATCCTCCATATATATGAGATTATATTTGCTTAAGGCGGGTGAAAGTGGTATCAAGTAATTAGACATGAAAGCGGAAATATGTGTTATGTCATATAAAATTTCTTAAAATTAGAGACTTGCTTTGCACAAAAACCAGGAGGAAAAAAGATGAATGGCAGTAGATGCGAGCTTTAGTTCGCTTGAAAGGATCCTCGACCGCAATTATCAAAGGACGAAGGAAATTTTTATTGTGCGTTTGATATACGGGCAGAATTAGGCCTCGAGAGACCTCTCTATTTATAAATTGTGTCTTATTCATAGTATTCATCACTCTCTCTCTCTCTATCTCTCTCTGGCTCTCGCTCTATCTATCTATCTATTTATCTATCTAACTCTATCTGTCTGTCTGTCTGTCTCTTTTTGTCTCTGGCTTCCTCTCTCTCTCTCTATCTCTCTCTCCATGTCTCCTCTCTCTCTCTCTAAATATTTAATATTTTCTCTATGTTTCTTTCTTCAATATCAGAAGCAAGATTTCATGCTTTGTCTTTGAACATTACCAAGTAAATTTTTTGAAGCTTCAGAAATGAGAAGAAGGTCTCACATTTTCATCAATGATTGATTTGAATTGAAGATATGCCTTTTTGCAAGAAAATTTGCTACTACTTAAGAATTTTTTTAAAAACTATTTTGAAATGAAACAAAAGAAATGAAGCTTTTTGACATTCGTTAACCAGTTAACCTTGTATGACAAATATATTTCATAATCCGTCCATCGGCCCTTGTTTGATTTCCTCATCAAATTTTTATTATTATGAATGTGTATTTGCTATCATAACGTGCTTTTTGGAAAATACTTTGATCATTTTGTCAAGTCGTTTTAGAACAACCTAATTTCAAATCACATTTATTCGAGCATATGACAAGCATACGAGTAAAGGTCGATGAAACTTTAATAAATATTTTCATGCAAACATTTCTTCATCAAGAGTTAATTAAAAAATCAATCAAGTTGCAAATATATACATCTCCGTTCGGGATGAATATATCAATAATCGTCCTTCGACCTTCCTTCGACCAAATCACCTGACTGTACCAATGTCTAAAAATTTCGGCCTGTGATTTGAACACTCGAATTTTAGACGGACAGACAGGCACAAAAGGTTGATTTCAAGTGCTTCTGGATATTGCACACACACTTCCGCTCAAACTTCGTATGCTCTTAGGATATAAAAATTATCGTGATATGATTAATAAATTTTCCAATTCACATTAGAATTCGATGCCTTCGACTTGTTGTTCGACCGTCGTGTGACATATAGCATAGATATTATTATTTAGATATTTTCACATAAATAATTACCATTAATTAAGGGAAAAATTTGGACAAAATTTTTATTAAATTATTTTTTATAAATTAATAAAAGAATTTTGTTCTCAGTTCAGGTAATATTGCTTAGCGTATGGGGATTTCGATGCACATTTTTACGCAGCATAAACAATTGGATAATTTAATGTAAATAAATAAATAAATAAAAAAAAGTGATACATTTTTATTATGCACGTGCGTATGTACGTATGTTTGTATGTATATATAGATTGTTCGGAAAGTCATTTCGTTTTTCCCCAACAGTGCATTTAACTGCATTTTTTCACAGCTAAGTTCACATTTAAAGCGCACGATCTTCGTATATTTAATAGCTGATGTCGTAATGTTCGTGTTTGAAAAATTTTGTTTGGTTCCGAGCAAACGTTTTCGTTTGGTGCCTGATCGAGCATGAAAAGTTCAAAGCAGCGCTTGCGGTGTACTTTACTTTACTATTACTAGCGTAAAGCCAAAAACAATATTTCATTGGATGCGTATGGTGATGGCGATTAATGGGCAGAGAGCCAGCCCAAAAAATAGTTTGCAAAATTTCACCTTCTGGAAGGCCAGTAGAAGCTGATAACCGCCGAATAGCAACTCGTGAGAACACGGACAATTTAAACCCATTAAATTCTACTCATCTTGATAAAATATTTATATACAACAAGCAAATCGGGGAATGCGTTTATCCTCCCCTCCTCCTCCTAGACGAAATTTCTTTCCGAATCATCTAATGTATTATTTTATATTCTATTGAGAATAGAAATTAATTATTAAAAAATATTTTTAAAAAAATATTCAATACATTTTTTTTTTCCATTTCAGATAAATTTCCATTCAGGCCAAAAATAAAAAAATCTGCAAACAAAACAAACAAAAAAAAAAAAACATTAATTATAAATAAACATAAAAAATTACATATGATATGAAAAAATTTTTAAACAAAAAAAATTTTTTTAAATTTTTTGCATTTTTTAAATTAAAATAACAAACTAAAATATAAAATTATAAAAATCACCCCAAAATATATATATATAAATATATATATAAAATTTAAAGAAAATTAATACACAAAAAAATAATCAATGAAAAGAAGAAAAGAAAAAGAGAGGCAAACAAGTGAGCCAACCTTTTGAGAGCTAAATGTTTAATCAAAAAATATATTTCACCACCACCGGGTGGTTACTGTGCTGCTGACTTTCAAATAGGATAAAACATAAAAAAAAAAAGAAAGAAGAAAATCATAGGAGACAGGAGTATGGGTTTTGCTGTTGCCACATTTTGTAGATAAGCAAAAGCAGCTATGAAAACAACCAAAAAATAACAAAAGGAAATTCTCTGACAGTGCTTAACAAACAACTGAATGGCAGATTTATTAAAAAACTGCTCATCAACAAGCGTGGCGATAATAAAAAAAAAATTAAAGTAATCCTTACGAGAATATAAAAAAAAAATAAAAAAATAAAAAAACAAGAAAAAAGGAACTCTCTTCAATCGTTCGTGCATGATAATCGTGATCCTTTGCTTGCTCATCAATTCTCGTTAAGTTTCCTTCCAAGTGTCTATTAAATGTAATAATAGCAGCCACAACGTCAACACAGTAAAATTAATCGAACCTTGTCTGTGGTAAGGGTATATATATATATATATTAATGTGTGTGTGTGTTTATGTGTGTGGGTGTGAGTATGATGCAAACATTAATATTTACACCCACAAAATAACATAAATGTTTGTTAATCAACTTTTTTGATTCCATATACAAAACTTAGCACAACAATTCTAACCCTCTCGATCCGAGCATAGGGAAAAGAAAACATTTACACCTATTTACTTAACACAAACACACTATAACTATTTAAAAAAAACAAAAAAAAAAAAATTAAAAAAAAGGTGTTGTCTTATTTATCTTTCTGTCAATTTCTTTCTTTCTATCACTTTTGCTGCACGCCTCGAACAGAAAACTCCCATCGCTTTAATTATTAGTTTAATCAAAGTGTTTGTTTTGAGAGCAACGTAGGATAAAATAAAAAACCGCCAACCTGGAACTAATGGAATTAGAGAACATTGTGGCCAATACGGTCTACTTAAAAGCCAGAGAAGGTAAGTTTTTCTTTTTCTTCTTCTTCTTCTTCTTCTTTTTTTTTCATTTCGTTTATATAACATATTTCATAATAACCGCCCACGGTTGGAGATATAATAAATTTATCCCGTTGTTTGTAATGCTCGGAAATATATATGAGCGTTATAGTGTGCATATCCTTAGCCAGCGTAAGATAGGTCCATTCATTGAACTCTCTGCTTGTCAGTCTGTCTGTTCATCTGTTGTTAGAACGTTCACGTAAAAAAAGAACGTTCACGTCAAGTGTGGACATAGGCGTAATCCTGCCATACAATAGATCAAAAATAAACAGGAAAGTATAGCTTGTAGTTCCTAGCAGCAATAAAGAAAAAAGGGAGAAAAACTCCATGATTACTGTAGAAACATGTCAAGAAAAGTCGAAAAACTTTAACTCATACCTTGTAAGATATGTTGACCTAGTTGTTCACAAAAATAGCAGGACTTTTCCATTGAGGTAACGCGGACTTGTCGAAACAAGTAGTCTTCTTCCTTGTAGGTTGCCAGCAATTTAATAAACACATACATCAAACCATTTTCAGTAGTTTACTTATGTCTAAAAAAAATTTCAATCTACCTAAAGCCACATTCCTCCCATTTCGATCAGTTGTTAACTGTGGATGTGTCAATGAGTCGACTATCCGCCCTAATAAATATTTCTGTGACGTCACAAAAGTAATGTACCAACAGAGAGACTCAACTCGATCTTCGCTATCATATTTTCCAAGCGTATTTGTACTTTGGAGGACATCAGGCGCATGACCCTGCTTGTTATGAACCGAACCGTATACCAGGCTTTGGGTACACATTATTAGATTGAGACGTAAAAGGGAGGAGTACGAGTGGAAAAGAATCTTGACAAAACGAAGGAGAACTTGCTAACTAATCGGGTTTATACAAATAATGAGAAAATGTTTGCAAAGGTATTAGACGGAGAAGATTTACTAACATTTAAGATGTTTTTGTGCTCTTGTATTAAAATTTTTGCAACAATTCGCCGGCTTAACCAATCTCAGTATCGTCGGAATTATTTCATTTTTTTTAATATAACTCGAGGATCATTTTCTTAAACGTGTGCCACTGTCACGACCAGAAAGAAGTGCGACTCTTATCCACGTGGGTAAACGGCAGCGAATGAGTTTTAGGTCATTGAAAAATGTACATTCTTCTCTCTTATGCTGCTTTATTATGTGTTGACCACCTGCGTCGTGCATTATTTAATCAAAGGGGAAAATGATTAGCTAGAATTTGTGCTAATCTTAATTAATTAAAATATTTTTAAAATGCAGTTGTATAATGAATGATACAACGGCCTGGCTGCCTCCACATCTTCTCTTTAGCTCTCCATTTATATCACTTAATCATCACTGTAGTGCTTATTCATGTATAGGTGGCGAGACTGATCAAAAAAGTAGTGTTGTACCTGATTCCAATCTGGCCTTAATTGATATCTAAGCTCTCCCTTCCATCGTAGCTATAAAGTCTCCAAGAGACGAATATTACATTATTAAGTTTTCCCGGAAGGCTTTTAACAACTTCTCCGGCAATTTAACGAGTGCAAAATGTTTAGCTTCTATTTATTAAAGTTATTCGAAAGTGCAGCATTGTTGCAGTTCCATGTGTTCAAGGATTAACAAGAATTTTCAAGTTTCCGCTTATGTAACATATTTTTCGTTTCGTTTACAGTCATTTACACACATTCTTAAGCATTTAGTTAAGAAATCGATTTTTGTGTTTCTCTTAAAGCATCCCAAGGTAACAACAACAATTTTGGCATTTCATTAGCAATGCATTCCATAAAATTGGTTTAAAATTTTTAGCCAACATCTACGTATCTATTATCGACTTGTTTTGGTTTTGTTTTCCAAAGTTCAAATTTGAATAAAAAAGATATTTACAATCATCCTAAGATGGCTTAGGATACCACCGACCATTTGAAAAGTCAAGCAACATGCATATGTTATTCTTATCGCTTCGACTTTTAAAATGATTTCTTGATATGATTTACTTGACTTAAATTTTAAATGGAAAATTCCTATGTGTTGTTGATTGTGTGCAAGCGAAAGTTTGTTTTTTTAATTTCCTCCTTTTGGTTCAATCATTTTGAGATTCGCTTTGAACTTGACGGATGCTAACTGCAGACTTTAATTGAAACTTTTGCAATTCGAAGATGTCTCAAGCAAAGAGGCAAAGGACAAAGAATCCTGAAGACTAATTTTACGGAAGCGTTTGAAACTTTTCGCTTATCACGTATAGGTTATAGGTAGGCAGTGAAAACTTCATTGAGTTCTTTAGCAGAAATGATAAAATAGCTTGTCCTGACAGCAAGTCCATTTCCAAGATTAGTGATTCCGGCTTCTTTTTTTTTCTTCTAGATTTGAAAAATGAAAATAAATTCGCGTATTTCAAGTCTTTGAGTTCTTAGAAAATTAATTTTTATACGTAATCTTTTTATTCGGAATATGAAAATCGCGTAAGTTTTTCTCGCTCCATGAGTAAATTGAAACGGCCTAAAGATTTTCGAAGATTTTTAACAATGGTTCAGTTCCACATCTCGTAAAGGTCCTTGCGAGCTTGAGGCACAGCACTAAGTCACAAAGATGCTTCTTCTGCGAACGATTTGTTAGCTTTTCAAACCTGCTTTGTGGGACTTGGGTATTGCTTTCCGATTTAATTTTCGAAAAATTTATTATACTCGCGACTGAAGGATGGTGTTGTACTCGTTGCGTTGCTTTTTTATTCAAAAGAAAGTTTCAGGAACGCTATAAAGTAAATATACTCTAAGTCAGTTCGGAATTAATTAAGCCCTGTACGTCCATCTGTGTGGTGTGTGTTATTGGCAGCCTCCTAGTCACCAACAAAAAAAAATCGACTTCAAATTTGGTAGAAATATTGGAAATTGTTGCACGCAGGTTGGTATTGAAAATGGACTAAATTGGTCAGGACAGAAGTCAGCAGTGGAGTATAAACTGAACGCAACTACGTGTTTTTGAAGAAAAATTTGTGGGTTTTTGCTCGTTACTCGGAAATTATGAAAGCTAGAAAGTCTGAAAATTTCCACACTTACTTATCTCGCGAAGCAGTCGATTCCTTACGTGCAAACACTTTTCCAAAAGAAGACATTACATGAGCAGCGATCCATTTTTCAGAAGATTCTCTCTTGAATTAAAACACCTAAGGGCAGCAAATTTGAAAAATGCAAATTGAACACAAACATATGCATGGACTGCCACGCAGATATGCTTAGATCGATTCAGAAATAATTGAATATTGATTGGTTCAATAAAGATGAGTGGGCTTATGTGGAAGACTGCAGAGTTTTGGCTGAATCCGCACAAATCTAAAATGTCCCTACCATTAGTGAACACATTTTATGAAGCGTATCGTAAATACAACCCAGAAAGTCACACATACATATGCACACATTTAGTGTAAAATGAAAATTAAATTTTTTCGTTCCACACTATATTATACTATAAAATATTCTCGATATATATATATATTTCGAAAATGTCCACTGGGGCATCGGGAGCGATGAGTGTGCATAAGCTTTCACTTTCTGGTGTATTTAAGTTGAAATAAAGAACATGGGCACGTATTCGCTTATTTCATTTCATTTGTTTTATGAAGCATACTTTTCGTGTCTGATGCTTAGATATTTTCATGTTTTCTCTATGAAGCAAACTTTATAAACAGCTTCAAGGAAATCGTACAAATAAAAAATCATAATATTAAAAAGTAAGATTATTATCATGTACTTATGTATGTATGTTATGTTGCAAAAAAAAAACAAAACAAAACAAAAAAAAAAAGCATTTAAATGGGATCGAATATATATATATATATATGTGACATTTTTCTTTTTCCCTTTCAAATGTTATGAATGAATTTTACCTTGAATATGAACCCGAAAACTTACAAGGACTAACAAAACGGATAAAAAAAAAAGAAAGGATCAATTGTATGTACTCTCAAATAGCATATAGCATATGTTATCATCTTAAGGTTATAAAAATTTATATGGTTATCAATTTAGTTTTTATGGGTGTGTTTATTTAATGTATAATTTAAATTTATATTTTTATTATTATCCTTTCTATGACTTTGTCGCGCACATGTGTGTGTATGCTGGTGCTAGCTGGTTGTTTCTTTTCCGTTTTTCTTTTATTTATTTATTTATTTTTTTTCTTTACCATAGGTAGAAATAATTTAAAATATTCTATTTTAATAAACTTTTGACCTAAATTTTTAACAACATTTTTTCTAAACAAACACACACACACACACACTCGGATACTGACTGTTACATTTAACACATTTCGTTTTACACTTTAGTTTTAATTACGTAACTAAATACAGACATAGTTCATAACGTATGTGAGTAGGTATGGATCATAAAGCGATTTCATATACTAACTGCGAAAGTGTGTTTGTTTTTAACACTAAGTGCTGCATGTCACATAATATTGTTGTCGTTCTTGTTTTTCTTTCTTTTTTTTTTTTTTTTTTTTTTTGTTTTGTTTTTGTGCGTGTGCCATAAAATTTAACTACACACACTTAACCTCTTAAAGCTAACCACAGCGTTGTAATGTGATTACTCTGGCCTTTCGTAGCGTTGGCAAAATACTCATATTTTCGTATATATATATTGTCGATTTAAAGCTTTTCTGTACATTAAATATATATATACATATGTATATATTTAGTGTAATATATGAACGTGTATTAGTAAATATTATTTTAAAATGTTTGTTAAATAATACTTCTATTAGCATGTAATCGAACCTAAACCTATATCGTTTGAATTTTATCATTACCGCAGGACAGAGGTATATTTTGTTATTTGTCAATCGATTTTTAATCGCAGTCTATATATAAGGCTGAGAGATTCCAAAAAGTATATATATTTCTAATTAGTCCAAGGTTCGTAT